CTAGTTTAAATGTTAATTGTGTGTGTGTGTGTGCGTGTCTCTCTTTTTCTTCTTCCGTATCATCATGGCTGGCGACAGTGGGTTATTGTCGTCAACGTTTAACTTCTCGTTTTATGTTTTTCTTTTTTTTTTTTCAATTTTTTTTCTTAAACTTTAGGTCCCCGAAAGCAAGTGTAGCAGGGATAAATGGAATACATTTCTATCCTTGCGTGCATGTGTGTGTGTTGGGTCTATGGCAGTTCAGCGTTTTAGTTTGTCTAGCTTACCCCCATTTTTTATTTGCAAACAGCACGATATCTTCCGCTATGTGTGTGTGTGTGAGTGTGTGTTTCTATGATTTCTTTTGCATGTAACTTCCTCTAGCTGTTTCCGCTCTCTCTTTCTCTCTCCCCACAAGTTACTCTCACCCTCTATAGAAGGCACAGTGTTTTTTTTTTTCTCAAACAACCGACAACGTGGCCGTTGTTGCTCTTTGGAAATATGCAAATGTGTGAGTGTAACTTAAGTTGATGTTAACTATTTATGGGTGTATGTTTGTATATTTGCATGTTAGACAGTCAACTTACAGTAGCACACGCACGGACACACACAGGTGTGGAAATACTCGGGTGGGGGACAGTAAAACAGAATCAACATAAATGTTACGTGGTTATTTGAACAGGACTTCATCTTTTCTTTTTTTTTGTCTTCTTGTCAAAGGATATGCAGGAAACATTGGGGGAAAATATAATAAAAAATATTGCCACAACATGAAAGCGTTAGTGCGGGTGTGTGCGCCTTACACTCGGCGCACTCAACATTAACGACGAAGGTAGCTAGCTGGCAAACAAGCAAACAAATGATTAAAAACAACATGGAAAGTAAAACATTTACTTGTTCCTTTGTGTATTTACACTGGGGAACTGAATATCTGTCGTTGTCATATTTTATTACTATTTCTGTTCTATTTTTTTTCTATGTGTTCGCATTTCCCTTTGCAGTGCAGTGTTGAGATAAAAGGAGTGAATATCCTTGCCACGTACATGGATACACACACACACGCACACACTCACATAGATGTATGTATGCAAAACCTTGCTCGGTAATGTCTTAGGAATTTTAATGCAAAACGTGAGATGTTTGACGTTTGACTCAACGACAGACACCACGTCACAATGCGAGGGTTATTGCAAAAGGTTAGGCAGTAACAGTAAGATATCGAAGAACAACAACAACAAAACAATCACTTTAGTAAATGAAGGTTGTTGCAGAATCACACAAGGCCATTAATGCTCAAATGGTGTTGAGGAGCATTAAAAAAGGGGCGGGAGGGGTGAGGAAGTGTAAAACAATCAAACTGAAATTAAAATTATGCTAACAAATCGAAAGCAAGTAAATGTATCGAAACAATTTGGGGGGAAACATCTCCAGGGGTATTGTTCATATTTTGCTCAAAATTTGAAATCATTTATGTAGAAAGAAAAAATTACTGAAAGCATTGAGATTGGCAACTTTGCCTACAGATATTAACCCTCAGTATAGAACCATTTATTTATGTATACTCTTCGCGGTAGAGATACCAGGAAGAGGAGATATACATATCTTGAATTACATCTAATGTTTATTGCACTCTATGAGAGTCATGAAAGCAGCAAAAGCAGTGGACCGACATATCAAATTTTCGTTAAATGTTAAATAGTAGGATGTGCGTAGTTTGAAGATAAAAAGAACATTAATCACACTTTGAATGAGAGTTATTGTTGTGTTGTTGTTGTTGACCCTTGGGAGGAGGTATTTTCCATGTTCGTCCCGGAGTTTATGATATAAAACAGTAGTAAAATATTTGACAGACCGACTAACCGAGAATCGACATCCAGACGAAATGACTGAAGCTAGAATCTTGAAATTTCGCAAGAGGCCAGTCTTGGTGAGTAGGCGTGTGATAAGGCTGGGTTTTTCGAAAATACTATATATTAAACAAAGGGAATGAGCTAGAATTCTGGAATTTTGAAAAACAGTCTGGATAGGTTTTTCTAAAGGTTTTTGGAACATTCGAACTTTAAGATTATGAAAAATTCTAAAATGGTAATAATCACTGGTAGTGTCTAGGATACAGGAGATGTTGATTGATTGTTTGGATATGCGTACTAAATGTTATTAAATTTGATATTGGCTGGCTTCTAGGGAGATGGAGAGGTTGACATAGTTTTAAATAGAAAACTTAGATGTGGGCCGATAAACTTCAAAATGGAATATTTTGAAGACTTTTAGTTTCTACAAATATAACTCAAGAACTCAAGAATATGGACTGATTTTGACAATTTTTAATCAATTCTGAGTGACCTCCTGGCGAAAAACGTGAATGTAAAAATTCATAACCTCAGTCATATGGCAAGAGAGGGTATATATAATTGAAAAAACGTTTTTAGACCCTAGATCTCCTTAGACCAAATCCGTTTCAGGATATTTGGAGTCAACCTATTTGAATAAAAATTTAAGTCCTATAAAATGTGTTGTAAGAGTCCGATTATCTTCAAATTACAAACATCACAATATTTTTATTAACCCAAGGTCTGGTGTAAAGATGCAATATGTCGGTCCACTCCTTCTGGTACCTCCCTCCAGGGGGTCAAAATTTTGAATATCCATGAAGCTCATAAAACGCGAAAGATGGTAGAGATCGAACCATTTTTTCTGGTACCTCCCCCACATAGGGTTCAAAATTTTGAAAAACAAAACGTTCAAAGAAAGCGCAATAAGCACCAAAGTACGCACATTTTACAAACACAGTGTGTTGGGGGTATGGTACAGCGTAATATTATTGTCAAACATAGATCGAGTTCGGAAATGGGCAATATCAGCCCACTTCTTCTGCTACCTCCCCCATAAAAGGTGAACATTTTAACAGAAAATTATTTTCTTTATAAAACCAGAAAGGATCATTCCATTTTGTGCAAACTTGGCGAATCCCAATATTTGTATCAGTTCGAGGTCAGGTGGAAAATATCGATCCACTCCAGCAAGTACCTCCCACACAAAAGGTCAAAATTTGGAATAATTATAACCCTTATAAAATACGATTCTCCTCATTTGTCGCACATTAAACCAAGATCTGATGTGTAGATGGAATATGACGTTCTAAAATTTTAACCCACAAAGGGTTAAAAATTTGGATTAATTATATCTCTTATAATTTGTAAAATATATTTTTATGCGATTTTTTTAGATTTAATTATTTTATGCCAAGAGGGCATTTTGAAGTGGCAAAATTTGTCAAAATCAGTCCAGCCATTCTTGACATATAAGCATTCTAGCTAACATCCCATTACCTTTGTACATATACATTGTATATATTTCTCTACATATATCCGATATATTTACTTTCGGCATCTACGTAACGGTCAGAATTGACCAGTTCGTATATTTGTGATTTCTCCGGGATTAAAAATATTCGCGGTTTAATGGAAAATTTGACTTCTATTTAACCCACTAAATAGCCCCATGTTAATTTCCGCGTCGATTGGTCTATAATTGCGACCTGTAGAGCAACTGCAAAATCAGGAAATTTTTCAGTTTTTGGTTTATTTCAACCTCTTAATATTATGCGAACACCTCCAAAAAGCAATAGGCTTCTATTCTGACCCTAGCCTCACCTACATTCTAAATTTCGTGAAGATCCGACCATAATTGCGACCTGTAGAGTCATTACAAATTAACATGGACAGACGGACGGACGGACGGACGGACATACATAGCTAGATCGACTCAGCTCGGCGAGATAGGAAGATCCATATATATTTTCCTATGTGGGAACAAATATTTCGAGGTGTTACATAATTTTTGACCCAATAAAACTTATAATACCCTTAACGCATAGTGTTGTTGGGTATGTAAATACTGGACTTTCTTATAGCCCTGTGTGTTATAACCGATGCCTTTTCATTCCAGTTATAAAATTTTTTATAGAAACCGATTTCTATTTCCCAATCCCAAAAAGATTTACTGGAGGATCTATTTTGAATGGGCCTTATGAAATGTGAAGTGCAGTTTGGTAAAAGCTTTAAAACCCGATTTAAAGAATTTTTTTCTGCCAATTTTCCAAGCGAACTTGGAAAATTCTGCGGACAGAAAACATTCTTGCGAATAAGTCTCCAAACATGTCAAATTATGATATAGAACCGTACCTAGATGGTTGGAGCTTCATTTTTTAACGGAATTTTTATCAAGTTTGGTTTTTTAAGTCTCACCTTCTGTTCATAAAACTATGAACATGAAAGACTGCTGCAATAAATTAGATCGTTAAGTGATTTAGGCTATAAAATGTTTATGTAATTTTAACCCAACATTCTAGAGTACTTGTAAATGTGTGTGCATGAAAGATAAGAGCATAAGGGATGATAACACTTCATGCTGCTGGAGACGCATTGATAATAAAGAATATTCTCCCATAAAAATGCGCTCAGCTGGGGAGTAAATATAGATCACAGCAATTGTGTGTTGCATTAGGCCTATGCATAGAATTAGAAATGTCAAGTGTTTGTAGCCTTAAGTAGATGCATAAGATTAAACCCCCCTAAGATTTCTGTTGTGTACTAGCACTTAAGTAATACATTTTGTTCAATAAAATTAGAATTAAACTGACAAACGAACAAACAAGTTCTAGAATTTGATTCTCCCGCTAACATTGGTCCTTCGACAAAAAAAAACCAGCGGCCACAAAAATATATTTCAAAAAAAAAAAGAGAATTATATTTTTGTAAAAAAAAAAAACAAAACAGAAAAAAAAGCCATAGGGGCAAAACAAAAAAAGCCATAGGGGCAAATAAAAAACAAAAAAAAAAAAGCCATAGGGGCAAAGAAAAAACAAAAAAAGCCATAGGGGCAAAGAAAAAATCAAAAAAAGCCATAGGGGCAACAAAAGCAAAAAAATAAAACAGAATAATTTTGAAAAAAGCCACAGGGGCATTAAAAGAAAAGAAGCTAAAACTACAAATTTTACTTGCTTCACAAAACAAGGAAAAATGGCGTCGAGACATAACTTGTATAAGCTCCAAAGCCTACTCCTTAAAGAAGTAATTGGGATTAAGGAAAAACTGCAAGCAGGCATGGTTCGGAAAGCAGCCATGGGTGACACACTACGATCCCTGGAAAGCAAAATGAAGGAAGCCACTACGAACCACGAAATGCTGAGAGTGCATGGCGAAAACACTGATCCCTATTTCAAAGAAAATGTTTGGGATCTCATCAACTTGAACTATGGAAAAGCAAAGGAACTCCTAGCGAGTTTGGAAGAAGAGGTCGAGCGAGAACCGCAAAGGGTAATAAAAGAAGCAGAGCCCGAAGTGCATGGGCTAATGCTCGATCAACAGTTAAAGGCCTTCCAAGAGGAAATGCAACAACAGATGCAACAACAAATGCAACAATTTATGTTGATGTTCGAGAAGAATAAAAGAGAAAATGAGGAAGAAAGACAAACCCATATAGAATCATCACCAATGGGCAATCAGGCGAATATAAAAGTAAGCGCAATCATCTACCAATTCAGGAAAAAAGTAAACAAACTCGCCGATGCCGTTGAAAGCGATTTAGCTGGACTATCAAAATATGCTTTGGAGTACATGAAGTCATCGTGGGAGAAGCATATGGATGAAATTAGGAAATTGCATCTCGAGCTCTCAACGGTGCATGGAATGGAAGAGGTAGATCTCGAATTTGAAGAAATTGAAGAAAAGTTTGAGAGCAAAATGCAGGATATGATAAGAAGGATAGATGGTCTTAAAGAGGAGTCACTGGAAGTAGAACTAAAAAGAGTTCAAATACCATCCTTTAGTGGTCATGTGGAAGAGTGGAGTTCATTTCACGATTTATTTAAAAAGATGATTGATGAAAACTCCAAATTATCAAAAGTTCAAAAACTGTACTACCTCAAGACAAATCTAAAAGGAGAGGCATTTCGCTTGGTGCAACATCTTCAAGTGACCGAGGCAAATTATGAAGCAGCATGGGAATTACTGGAAAAAAGATATGGCAACAGGAGAATTTTATTCACTAAATTGGTAGATAGAATACTGGACCATCAAAACATCAACAGCCTGTCAGCAATAAGCATAAGAAATTTGCTGGACAATGTAAATGAAAGTATTCAGGCGTTGAAAGCAATGGATATTCCCCTAGAGCAAGCGGATCCCATTTTAGCCCGAATAATTATACGGAAACTGGATAAGGATGGGCTTATTCTTTATGAGCAGAATGTAAAGAAATCCAAGGACATCCAAAAACTTGAGGATGTGATGGACTTCCTGGAGCAGCAGTTTCAAGCCTTGGAAGCTTCAGTAGGCAGAAAACACAATAACATAGGACTGTACAAACTCCAAGAAAAATCAGCAGTGGTAGCGGAATTAAAACAATGTAAGTTCTGTAAAATGAGCGGACATGATATCGCATGGTGCAGAAAATTTTCGGCGTTATCTTCGAATGAAAGATACAATTGGGCAAGATCAGCACAGGTCTGCCTCAGATGCTTAAGCCACAACAAGGATAAAAAATGTTACAATGAAATTAAATGCCAGAAGTGTGGAATGAATCACATCACAGTGATGCATTTAGAGCGAAGAGGATATACGAAAGCAATGACCACCAATACAACAACAAATGTTCTGCTAGCAACAGCCCAAGTTCGTATAAAATCACTGCATGGAGAATTTGTAACAGTCAAAGCGCTGATAGACCAAGGATCACAAATTACATCCATATCAGAGGACGCGGCTCAACTGTTGCAGCTACCAAGGAAGAAGACAGAAGTGAGGTTACAAGGTCTAGGAGAGACCCTAGTTGGCGTGGCGAAATCTAAAGTTGCACTGGAACTACGACCCAGATTTTTGAGCAACATAATGATTAAGGCAGAAGCACTAGTCCTTCCAGCACTTGCATCAGCACATCCCGACAGAAGGTTTCAATATGACGTGGATAAATGGAGAAATGTAAATTTGGCAGATCCAAATTTCAACAGCCCGGAAAGAATCGATTTAGTCATTGGAGCCGATCTTTACTCACAAATATTGGAAGAAGGAGTTCGCCACGATGAGCAAATTGTGGGACAAAATACGAAGTTGGGTTGGATTTTATCTGGAACAGTAGTAGTAAATCCTGGATTGAACATAAAGAAATCGGCAGCAACAACAACAATTGAGAGGTTCTGGGAAATAGAGGAAATAGAAGATGAAAAAACGACCGAAGAAGACGAATACTGCCTTAAGTTATATGAAGACACAACACGCCGAGACAATTCAGGAAGATTTGTCGTGCGTTTGCCGTTAATTGAAGAAAAAGATTTGGGAGATTCATATAAAAGAGCCATGGCGAGGTTTATAAACTTGGAAAAAAGATTAGAAAATAATGCGGAATTAAAGTCAGAGTACGAGAAAACAATGAACGAGCTCATATCCATGGGCCAAATGGTAAAGGTGGATCCAAGTAAGAAGGCTTTGTATTATATGCCGCACCAAGCAGTGGTACGTGAAACAAGTCTAACCACAAAAGTTAGAGTGGTATTTGATGCTTCATCGACAACTTCAAATGGGAAGTCGCTGAATGACATACTTCACGTGGGACCAAGGCTTCAAAAAGATATATTTGACATTGTAACAAAGTGGAGATCGTGGAAGTTTGTCATCTCAGCTGATGTGGAGAAAATGTTTCGTCAGATTAAAGTTGAAAAAGAAGACCAGGAATACCAACATGTGTTGTGGAGGAGTAATCCGTCGGAGCCTATCCAACAATATAAACTTACTACGGTAACATATGGCACTGCATCAGCACCATTTCTGGCTGTAAGATCGCTCATAGAAATTGGAAATAGGTGCCAGAATCAAGAAATCGCTCAGAGGATCAAAGAAGATTTCTACATGGACGACCTTTTAACAGGAGCGAATACAAAACAAGAATGCAGGGAGGTGCAGAAGAAGATAACGCTGCAACTGGAGGATTATGGGTTTCATTTAAGAAAATGGATATCAAACTCTCCTGAAGTATTGAGTGCGGTGAAATTGAATGAAGAAAATGAAGTGCTGAGAATAGAAGAAGATGAATGCTTGAAAACATTGGGATTACAATGGAATCCACAGATCGATTGCTTTACATTTAGTATGCAAATTAAAAAAGAAGACAAGTTGACAAAACGAATAGCATTGTCAAGACTGGCACGAATATTCGATCCATTAGGTTGGCTGACGCCAGTCACGGTAACAGCAAAACTATTTATACAGCAGTTATGGATACAACAAATAGAATGGGATGTGCCATTGGAGGAGAAATTGAGTGGAGATTGGCGGCAGTTTACATACAGTCTGCCTGCTTTAGAAAATTTAAGGATTCCAAGATGGTTTGGAATATTGGAAGACAAAACTGCACAGTTACATGGGTTTGCAGATGCTTCCGAGAAGGCTTATGCAGCAGTCGTATACCTTAAGGTAAATTCGCAGGTGACCATAGTGGCTGCAAAAAGTAAGGTAAATCCAGTAAAAAATAGGAAGACGCCTCCAAAGCTGGAACTTTGTGCAACACATCTATTGGCTAAACTACTACAGAAGATCAAAGGAGTATTGAAGTCAGCAACACCAACTTTTGCTTGGAGTGATTCCATGATTTCCTTGGCATGGATTCACAACTCCAAAAACAAGGATAAGTTCATAAAAACAAGGGTGATGGATATTTTGGAGAGAATACCCGAAGCGAAATGGGGCTACGTCAAGTCAAAGGAGAATCCAGCAGATATGGGTTCAAGGGGTGTCCCACCGGAGACTTTGACAAACAATACATTGTGGTGGGAAGGCCCCGAATGGCTGAAAAAAGATGAACAAGATTGGCCAAAAAGCAACATAAATCAAACAGTAGCAACAACAGTAAAGTTTTCGACTGAAAACCACTTATATGAAAGTATGATGAAGTATTCGTCATTTAAGAAACAGATACGTGTAATGGCTTATCTACTGCGTTTTATAAAAGGGCTAAAAAAGAAGCGAGCAGTAAATGAGCATTTGACGGCAAAAGAGTTGGAAGAAGCAGAGATGGAGATAATAAAACTACATCAAGAAAGAGAATGGCCAGTGGAACTAAGGAAATTGAAGACATTGGGAACGGTGGATCATCAAAGTAAAATAGCTTCACTACATCCACAGTTGGATCGAAATGGCATAATGCGGGTTGGTGGAAGACTTGCTTTGTCAGAGCTGAACTATAACCAAAAGCATCCAATAATTATTCAAAAGTCAAGATTAGCGGGAAATATCATTCGAAATTGTCATATTCAAACGATGCATGGAGGAAATCGACTTATGGAAAATATACTAAGACGAAAATATTGGATTATTGGAGCTAAAAATAGGATAAAACTTTGCATTAGGTGTTGTCCAAGATGTACGCGCTTTAGAGGTGAAGTGCGAAATCAATTGATGGGAAATTTACCAGCTTACCGTGTCAGTATAAATCAACCCTTTCAACACTGTGGCATTGATTATGCGGGTCCGCTACAAATACGGTGCTCCAAAACAAGAGGAGTGAAGGCTATGAAGGGTTACGTAGCGGTGTTCGTATGCATGGTAACTAAGGCGGTTCATTTGGAAGCTGTCAGCGAACTTACAACGGAAGCATTTCTGGCGGCGCTAAGGCGATTTTTCGCGAGAAGAGGAAAATCAACCGACTTATATTCAGACAACGGAACGAACTTCGTAGGGGCAGCAAGGCAGCTTGACAGAGACTTTTTGGATGCCGTTAAAAACAACACGAAGTTAGCTCCCATTTTGGAAAATGAAAAAATAAGTTGGCATTTCATTCCGCCGGCAGCTCCTCACGTTGGAGGAATTTGGGAAGCAGCAGTGAAGTCCATGAAATATCACCTAAAAAGAATAATTGGTGATACGAAATTGACTTACGAGGAGTTGAGTACGGTGCTATCTCAGATTGAAGCAGTATTAAATTCGAGGCCGCTACATGAACTTGGAAGCGGTACAGAATATATTGACACTTTAACACCTGGACATTTCTTAATTGGCCGTCCGATGTTAGAATCACCGGCGACTATCGATGAAGGTAACTTAGGATGTCTTAATAGATGGAAACTGCTACAACGAATTAAAAGTCATTTTTGGAGCAGATGGAAAGAGGAGTATCTAACCACATTACAAAACCGAATGAAATGGAAGAAACAAAATAATAATGTGGAAATAGGCAATGTGGTGATATTGAAAAACGAAGAAACGCACGCGGCGCGATGGCCACTGGCCAAGGTGGTAGAAGTCCATCCAGGGAAGGACGGAGTTGTAAGGATTGTGACAGTTAAAACACAAGACGGCGTGATAAAGAGGCCAATTAACAAATTATGTCCATTGGAGCATATGGACGAGGAATCTGAAGAATTGCCCAGACAGGAAAAACAGGCGGAAATTACACATACTAATATGACAAGATGTGAGCGAAAAATAAGGAAACAACCAATAACGTGGGCAATGATGCTGAACTTATTTTTACTAATATCTACCAAGGCATCATCTGTACATGAACTGAATAGTTCGGCTGCGGTATATTTGGATCCCATGTCTCAAATTCACATGGTTTCCTCATCATGGAATATGGTTGTGTACTTTGAGCTGAAACCATATTTAGAAACATTAGACCTGGCTTCCGAATTGCTGAAAACATCAAAAAGCTTATGCCCACGACTTCAAACTTTTGAGGAGCAGTGTTGGTCCACGATTAACAATATGGAACTCAAGATTAATAAGATAAAGACCAACAATCGATTATTCCTCAGAGAAGACAATCGTCAAAAAAGAGGAGCTCCGTTGAAATTTGTAGGTTCGTTTCAACACTGGGCATTTGGGATAATGGACGATGACGATCGAGTAGCTATGGAGAGCAATATGAAAAATCTATTAGCCAACCAAAAGGATTTGAAGAAGTTAGCAAAACAACAGACATCTGTAGTCGACGCTACAGTAAATCTTTTAAGGAAAACCACAGAGGAAGTGAATTCGCACTTTTCGGATATCAAAGGCAAAATTGAGAACATAAGTGCTACAATGAATGAGAATTACTTCGTGTATAGAGAATCCATACGATTCTTTATAATAGCAAAACAAATTCATGAGCTTTTGGAAGAATGTGACGAAGTCCAAAAAGAAGTTGTTGATGCATTAATTGATGTAAACAGCGGTAAGTTTCATCCCGTCCTGATAACACCCAAACAATTACAAGCAGAGATAGTAAAAATACGAGATGCTCTGCCTGAAAAATATGTACTGCCAGGAAAGCGTACAGGAATGGAATTAAAAGAGATCTTACATTTGATGACGTGCCACGGATCGTTTGTGGGGTCCCAACTGGTAATTAATATAAAAATACCGCTGTTCAATCGGCAGTCATCCCAGTTTTACAAAGTAATTCCGATACCATTTGAAGAAGGAAATACGATATTGATAGCCCGGGTGAATTCCCCGTACATTGTATATAATTTTGAGCTGGATTCTTTTCATTTCTTAACACAGCCTATGCTGAATGAGTGCAAAGAGACGTTGGGTAAGGAGATAATGTGCGAAGAGAATTTTCCATGGAGAGATGCAACTACAAATAATTGTGAATTATCTCCTCTGAGACCGCACATAAAACTAAACTGCGCCTATGACGAAGTGGAACGAATGCCTTATTGGATGCCATTGAAACGAAATGGCAATTGGCTTTTTAAAACCTTTTCAAGTACAACAGCTCATTTGCAATGCTCTCACAAACAACAGACGATTATGGAACTTCCAAAGCAAGGAATTCTCACGCTGGATGCAGACTGTACAGCGAGGATCGGTAAAGTAACGTTGGTAGCTGTGCATAGAGTTCATAACGAGATAAACACCGAATTCCATTCGTTTCTTTTGAAGGATGTAAGTCCGGACGAAAAAGAATCAATCAAACCCCTTGGAAATATACTTATCAATCATCATCAAGAAATTGACGAGCTAAAGAAATTCGTGGACAAGTTAAAGAAAGAAAATGTGGAATTGCGAGGCTTGAAGTTCCATCACATCTCATCACACGTAGCTTTTATTTTAGTAATTATAGTAATAATAATTCTAATTATTTTATTTATAAGAAGACAGAAAAAATTAAAACGCATAACCGAAATTCAATTTCCCCGAGGCCAGGATGTCTAAATAAATTATTTGCCGCCCGGGAAAATGTTCATAAAACTATGAACATGAAAGACTGCTGCAATAAATTAGATCGTTAAGTGATTTAGGCTATAAAATGTTTATGTAATTTTAACCCAACATTCTAGAGTACTTGTAAATGTGTGTGCATGAAAGATAAGAGCATAAGGGATGATAACACTTCATGCTGCTGGAGACGCATTGATAATAAAGAATATTCTCCCATAAAAATGCGCTCAGCTGGGGAGTAAATATAGATCACAGCAATTGTGTGTTGCATTAGGCCTATGCATAGAATTAGAAATGTCAAGTGTTTGTAGCCTTAAGTAGATGCATAAGATTAAACCCCCCTAAGATTTCTGTTGTGTACTAGCACTTAAGTAATACATTTTGTTCAATAAAATTAGAATTAAACTGACAAACGAACAAACAAGTTCTAGAATTTGATTCTCCCGCTAACACCTTCCTTGGCAGATAACTGTCTATGCATGTCTAGATTTTTCCGAAACATGGCGTTTTGATGAGTTTTGTAAAATTTTCCATTAGAATTGTTTTAAAATTTGTAATTGAAGTTTTCAATGGTTTTTGTCCTCAGGTTCTTACATAGCCCTCATATAACGGTATCTCCCAGTATTTGATGTTTTCCCCACAAAGGATTTCTTTAAAATAACAACTGAGGTTGTGGTAATTTTTTCCGTTTTGATTGCCATTATCTGAAAGTTATATCATCTAAGACTATCCATCCCTTTTAAAACGCAGTTTGGGTCAAATTAGATACTCCCTTCAAGACTTATCATGCTCACCTGCCAAACATGTATACAAATATACGTATATGACTATATCGAATCTTGCAGCGGATTTTATCTAAGGAAAGATTTATTTCGTTAAGGCTCCCTTTGGCCTAATCAATATATATACACTCTGTGGAAATCACTCTAGCTTCTGAAGGAAATGAAGAAGGCTGCTAAAATTTTACCCAGATTTGTGTTTGGTCTGAAGGTATTGAAAATGGGCTATATAGGTCCACGTTTTGTACATTCAGATATTCGGTATTTTGATGATTTATGTCACATTTATCACCGGAATGTTTCAAATTTGAAACTTGAACTTCGTAATGTATACTAAAGCCTATGACAGAAAGTTGCTCATGTAGGTCCAGGGCTTTGTGTATCGGAACCTCCCAATATTCGGTATAATGATGATTTTACCTACATTATAGATCAGAACTGTTTCAAAATTCGTATTGTATGTTCGTGATGGATTTTACAGGCAAATTTCCTATGCTAGGCTACGTCTTTGTATAGCCCCCTTATGTAGGGCTATAGGTATTACGACATTATTCACCGGAATTGTTTGAATGCGTACTACATCCTATGAAAGAAAATTCCATATTTGATTCAAGGTCTTCGTATAGCCTCCATATAACGGAACCACACTATATTCTATATTTAAATGATTTTATCGACATTATCCACCCGAATTGTTTCAGATTTCGTATTGTAAGTTCGAAATGGGTGCTGCAGCCTCTCACAGAAAATTTCCGTTACAGGAGTGCTTCTTCGTATAGCCCCCATATAACGGTACCTCCATATATTCGGTATTTTGATGTTTTTGCGCATTATTCACCGGATTTTTTTCAAGTTTCGTATTTGAATATTGTAATGGTCTATGTCAAAAATTGCCTATGCTGCTTCACGTCTTTGTATATGCCCCAATATAATGCTAACTCCCTATGTTCGGTATTATTCAACGGAATTTTTTTTTGGAAAATTCCTTCAAAATAGTGAAGGGTATTCAAAGTTAGGCCCGGACGAAGTAACTCCTTTGTATTTTTTAGAACTGTTAATATACAATCGTACTTATATCTCTTTCTTCTGGCGATGGCTGCGGAGTCGTGTCAATTTTGATCAGACTCCGACTCAGGGACTTTTAAACAACTCGGAAAAACAATATCCTATATCTTCTTCATCATTACCTCTTGATTTAACTTAGTTAAACATTCATAATACCGTAAATTAAAACGTGGACCGATGTAGCCCATTTCCTTTAAACATTTGTCCTAGGCGATCAAAGCTCCACATGAAATAATTCAGATTGTTTCTTTATATCAACGGTCAAAGGAAGGGGAGGTTGCTGAAATAGTTCACATATAAACACAAAAATTTTACACGGATGTCCAATTTTTAAAATTTTGTGCATATTTTAAAAAAAATGTAACAACATTTTGTGTTAGAAAACTTTTGACAAGATTTTGTAGTATTTTTTATTTTTATTTATTAATTTATTTATTTTATTTCATTTATTAATTTAATATTTTTATTTATTTATTTATTTATTTTTATTTATTTATTTTATTTTTTTTTTTTTTTTTTTTTTTTTTTTTTTGAAGGATTGCACAGATTTTTGATTTTACTACGTCTCCAACTCGTAGTCCCTGTATCGACTCCGCAAACATGCTTACGACACTTTTTAATATTTAGATCATATTTGACAGGTGTTTTGCTTGGTTCGCCTTTTAGCTTTTAGTTTTGGTTATTCGAAACTGGATTTAAAATATTCTCAAGAGAAAACGAAGAACGCACTCGACCCCCAAAGCTTTCTTAGATAACACAGACATCAAAATTGCCTACCAAAATTTTATTTAACAATATTACACATAACGCAAAAATTCTAAAAAAATCTTTAAAATCTTGTTTTATGCCAAATATCATGATCAACTAACCAAAATATCACTCCCAATGAGAGAAAATGAGACTCAAACTTACAAGTTATTACCACAATATGGAACTAGCCAAGACTGAATTAGCTCCTTTTGGTAGTCATGAGGTATAAGGCAGGCGTAATAATTAGAATAACAAAAAGTCGAAGTATATTCGATAACAAAGTTCCATATTAAAAATTTTAAACAATTTAATTTTTAATTCACCTTAACTATTAATCATAACAAATTACAATACTACACATCAAATCTATATACTCTGGCGTATACGTAATTTGGATGAAAATAACGAATATTTATCATACGCCACCCAGTCAACGCAATTTCCAAATAAACAAAGCCTTTTTTAATTTACAATTCTTATTTAATTTGCACACTTCTCTATGAACCAACATTATTCCCTTTTATTTGTTTATTATTTAATTTTATTTTAACGTTTATTCTATTCATTCACTTAATTATACACTTCGTTAACATTTCACTTTCTTCTTTCACTTGTTGTTTCTATTTATGCAGCGTTCGTGATGCTGTTGTTATTTTCTACTTTTTTCTTCAATTGTAAATTGTCCCACTTAAAAAAAGACACAAGATACGAATGCCTGGCTGGTTTTCTGGCTGGTCGGCTAGTTAGCTAACTGGCTGCATGCAGTACTTTGCCATAACTGCCGCCAGCGCAGGCAGAAAAACACAGTTAATTTTCCGCTATGCAGAACTAAGCGTTTTTTTTTCACAATACTGTTTTTCTTCTTCATTATTTTCATTTTCGTGTGACAAGAATTTGCACTCTTTTCCCAACTTCATTATTTTGATGTTTTTGTATTAAATTGAATGTTGTTGGTTTTGTTGTTGCTGGTTTTTTGTTCTTTCACTCTTTGTTGCATGTCATTCGTCGGTTGGTAATTTAACTTTAAACACCAGATACACTCACATACATATCTAAACACGCATACCCATACACACGATTATGGGAATTGCTGTCAGTGGCACATATTTTGTTGTTATTTCCACTCTATCTCTCTCTCTCTGCTTTTCTCACACACTCTCTCTCTCTCTTCTTTTTTGGCTTTTTCTCCAATGAATGCAAAAACAACATAACTCTGTTACAACATTAACTCATTTCAAATTATGTTAACGGCAACGGTGTGGGAGAGAACATAACTGAGAGTAAGAAATAAAATACGGTGTTACTCTTCAAACAAATGAAAAACTGTATTTCATATCATTGGCGATGAGTCTTAGGATGCTGCTTCTGTTCTCTTGTACTATTAATATTGTTATTGTTGTTTTTATTGTAATTTTAGTTGCCATTATTAAATTTCGAATCCTATTTTGAACATAACAAGAGCCATAAACAGAAGGGAAATTTACATAAAACCACTGTAGAACAATGTCTCCAATAATGATGACACCACCAATATATTTTTCCCTCTCCCCTAACTTTTGGTGGGCGAGTATCAGGGATGGATATATCAGAAAGTAACAACATATTTTTCGTTTGAAAATAACTACCGATTTGAACGTATCAGTTTTTATAGGCAAAAGGAAACGAGAACTATGGGTCTATAGTTCCTTTTGATGATCTGCATAGAATTACAGCGATATCCGACTGTCTCTCTGCCTATCTGTCTGCCAATCTGTCTGTTATAATCACGCTACACTTCGAAAGAATTGAGATAAAAGGCTAATATGTTACATTCATGAATATTTTCCCAGTAGGCAGGTTAAGTTCGTAAATGAGCCATATCGGTCCACGTTTTCGTATAGCCCTCACATAACGCTATCTCCCGATATTCGGTATTTTGATGATTTAAGCAACATAATTCACCGGAATAATTTCAAATTTCGTATTGGAAAATCTTAATCTTAATAAAATCCACATCTTCATATATCCCCCATAAAACGGTACCTCCCAATATTCGGAATTTTCATGATTTTTGCGACATAAATCACTAGAATTGTTACAAATTTCGTATTTAAAGTTCGTAACGGGTACTACAGTAGTACACCTCTTCGTATAGCCTCCGCATAAAGGTCATCATTTGTCGGCATTTTTTGAAAATTTTCAAGTTCCTTCCAAATGGTGAAGGTGTTTTTATACCCTACAACACTATGTGTTGGGGGTATTATAAGTTTGATTGGGCCAGAATTTATGTAACACCACGAAATATTGGTTTCCCATATAGGAAAGTATATATGGATCTTCCTAGCTCGCCGAGCTGAGTCGATCTAGCTATGTATTTCCGTCCGTCCGTCTGTCCATGTTAATTTGTAATCAAGCTACAGGTCGCAATTATGGCCCGATCCTTACGAAATTTTGCACGAAGGTGGTGTTAGGGTCAGAATAGAAGCCTATTTCTTTTGGAGATGATCGCCAAATGTTTAGGGGTTGAAATGGACCAAATACTGAAAAAATGTCAGATTTTGCAGTAGCTATACAGGTCGCAATTATAGACCAATCGACGCGCATGTAGCTAGAGTTTAGGGCGGGGAAGAAGCCTACAAATTTGGGTGGTCAACGGATAATATTTAGCGGGATATGGTCTATATATCTTTTGTATTGAAAAAATTCAAAATTTTTCATTAAACCGTAAATATTTTAAATCCCGTCGAAATCACAAAGCCATGACAAGGTTACTTCTGACCTTTACAATGATGTTGACATCCAACAAATCGGATATATAGCAAAATATGTGCGATATATATGTCTATCAAAGAAGATATGCTTGAAAGATATCTTATATGTCGAGAACGGCTGAACTGATTTCGACAGTTCTCATTAATTCAGAATGGCCTCTTGTTAGGAAAGAAAAAACGTCTAAAAAATCGCATAAAAATATCTCTCTAAAGATGAAAATATTAGATTTGTAACATTTTCTCATATTTTTGGCATATTTTCATTTTGAATTAAATATTTGGTAATATTTCTAAAGCTAACAAAAGTAAGTAGTTAGGATATCAGGATATCATATAGAGATCGCATTTATGGCCCGATCCTTACGAAATTTTGCATGGGGATAAGATGAGGGTCATAATAGATTCCTACTTTTTTGGAGATGATCGTTATATATTTAGGGGTTGAAATGAACCAAAAAAACTGCAAAATTGTCAGCAGGTCGTAATTATCGCCCGATCCTCACGCACATCTCAATGGGGTTTACCGCACATTGCAAAAGCCAAGCAGTTTCGGATGGCCATCCAAAAATATTCAATGTGTGAAATAGTTTACCAACTTTTGTAGACTAAATACGAAAATGTCCATTCCAGCGACTTTTTGGAGAATTCACAAATGCAGGAAAGTCGCACTTCTGACTATTTCGTTAACGCTGATTTCGCTGAAGAATATAGTCAAATGTCTGTATCTCATATAGATGCGTTTCAGTCAGAAACTAATAATAAATGTTAATCTTTTGCCACTTCTGAGAGATTATAGGTCTTTGGGAAATATTGGTTCCAGATCTAGGAAGACCATTTACGTGCAACATCTACCAATAAATTGGAAATGAGCAAATTAGTTTATGTTGCTATTATTCGAAACTTAGAGAACGAAACCTGATGGCTTTATTTTATTATTTGTCACAATATCTTGTGGAATTCTTTCGAGTATCTCGCCTATATAAACTGTATCGTTTATTATAGTGTTGTAGGGTATTCAACGGTCGGCCCCGCTCGACTGTAGCCTTTGCTTACTTGTTTTTTTACTTGCTTTACCTCAATTTCATGGAAGTAACGATACTGGAAAAGACGTTTAGGCTGGTGGTGAACATTCTTTGACTTTCTGGCCATCACTGATGGTTCGAAAATGGATGATGGCACCGGTACTGATATATTCTGCCCGAATCCAATCATAAAACTCTCATATAAACTCAATGACAATTGTAGCGTTTTTCTGGCAGAAATTCCGAGAAATGGTAAGATAACTTGGCAATAGCATGACAGGGCAATAACTATATATATCGATAGTCAGACGCCTCTCAAAGCTATCAAGTCAAGTGCCATTAAATCGAGAGTCATTCTTGAGTGCAAAAAAGCTCTCCTAGTTTTACATGAATTAATTAATGAAATAACTGACGAACAACACCTTTTTCAGATGTAATTGGAAAAAATTTATTTGCAATTCGAGAATCCATTTTGTTATTCGTAATATTTTAACTGTAATTCAAGATTTCAATTTTTTGTTCATAACATTCCATTTTAATTTCAAATTCTTTTATTTGAAATTCGTTTTATTCCATTTGTAATTTGAATTATTCCGCTTAAAATTCGAAAGAAAACAAAAATCGGAAACATTTTTCGGATTTCTAATTACAAATAAAATTATTCAAATTAAGAGAGAAATATTTTGAATTACAAATGGAATTATTCAAATAAAAAATAGAATAAATCCAATTACAACTAAAATACTTCAAGGTTCAAATGGAATTTTTCGAATTGCAAATGAAATTTTAAAATTACTATTGAATTCGAATTACGAGTGTAGTTCTCGAATTTCATTTGAAATTCTACGAATGCAGTTCTCGAATTACAAATGAAATTTCACGAAATACAATTAAAATGCTTCGAATTAAATACTCCATAGAGGTTCAAACAATTGAATAATCATAACTGAAGTCAAAATATATTTAAATAATCAAACATTGGCTGAGGGTGTACATCTGTCGGCAAAACTGACTGATACTTTTTTATTTTTTTTTTTTCAAGGGATTTCAAGCCGAGAGTCTTATTTAGGCACGTAAAAAATTAAGTTTTTGAAACACTCCACCACCATAAAAATATCTGACTTCAAATGTGAATACTACAAAACCAATGGGTACTACAAAATCAATGGGTACTACAAAATCAATGGGTAATGGAGCTAGAACTCATTATTTCCCGTAAATACCAATTTTTAGATAAATCCATGGAAAAATGTGTCAAAAATCATCAAAATAACGAAAATTGGGAGGTACCGTTATCTGGGGGCTATATGAAAACCTGGACCGATTTATCTTATTCTAAATACCAACCATCCTAGACACAATACAAATTGTTCTGCCAAATTTGGAAGCTTTACGTCAAACAATGTGGGCTGTATCGCGATTTCAACAGACAGACAGACGGATATAAAATCGACTTAGAATTTTATGCTGATTATGAATTTATGTTCTTTATGGGGTCATGACGAATATTTGGGGACGTTACAAACGGAATGACAAAGTTAATACACCCTCCTTTTCAAGATGAAGGGTATACAAATATTTCTAAACCGATTCCTATTCACGAATTGTGGGCATTCTAATGTGGGTATTCTTATATTTCTTATGGTCTTCCGCATGTTTTGTTAAGGGTATATTATTAGAAAGGACTTATTTTAACAAATTGTTGATTTTGTAAAAACATTTTTAAGGAATTTTGTTCTCATTCTCCCTAAAATAGCAGACTTTTATATTAAAACTGATACTTTCTAAGGCTTTTTCGATTCTACATTTCCATACCTGTCCCGCAAAACTCCTCAAAATTTTAGTCCCCATTAGAAACATGTCTAATATCCCAGAATCTCATTAAGAGTACAAATGAGAGTGCGAGTAAAGAGAATGAATGTAAAACTAATTGTTTTACTGTTAACACTTGTCTCTGATGAGCACTTGGGTTTGGTTAATTGGCGGAGGGGGGAGAGTGGGCAAAGGCTGAGAGTCAATGTCTGAAATGAAAAGATGGTGGAGTGGTTTATTGTTGTTGTTATTGCTGCTTCTCCATTCCTACTGTGTTTATGATGTTTTGTTTTTCTTCGTCTTCGTCTTCTGCTTTTGTCATTGTCTACTACCGACTGACTGACAGACTGCTACTGTTGATGATGGCCCTGCGCCAGCATTGCTGAATACCCAGAGTTGTAAAAAATTGTAGTAGTAGCGGCCGTTGAGGGTGTGTGGGGTGGGCGGGCCTGTGGCACACCATTTAATATTCGGAGTAAAATATTCTTTCCATTTTTTGTGTGTGGCTGATTAAAGCTTTTGTTGGGAATTATGAGAGTTTGTGTTATTGTCTGTATTGTAAAAGAGAGGGAGAGAGAGCGAGAGCGAATTCTGTACTGTGCTCTGTTATATTTCAGAGGGTTATCCAACAAAACATTGCCACAAAATAAGGGAATTAGTTTGGCAGTAGGACTTGTTCTGGAGTACCGTTACGTGAGTGAGCGCGTGTGTGTGCGTGCCAGCGTTTGTATGAAAATGTGTATATTTTTATTGTTGTTGGTGGCATTGTTTTCCTGCTCCTCTTTTAACATTTTGCCAGTTCTAGCTGCTGCTGCTACTGCTGTTGTTATTGTGGTGGCTATTAGGTTTTGTTATTTCAGTTTCGTTGCTTTCATCCATTCTTCTCTCTCGGCGTGTGTGAGAGTGTGTGTAACATAACCTTCTGCCCTACTCTGAAGGAATGCGTCATCATTAAATAAACGTTTTCCCCTTGATTTTTTGCTTTTTCCTTTGGTAGTTTTTGTTGCCCGCTTGGTTAAGGCAAATAGCTGAGGACCAGCACGTTTCACAGGATTCTCGAAAAGATTTATTTGAAAATTATATTTTTTGGAAATTTTACAATACAATTTCAAAATATTTTGTTGGCCCAACAAGCATTTGTAGGACTTCTCGATTGGTGCCATAACAATTTCTGTGCGTTTTTTTGGGGGGTTTTGAGTGCAGACGCACTCTGTCAAGGTTATATTGGCCTTATTTGTCAAAAAAAAAAGAAGCACAAGAGCACGGAACTTCCAAATCAAGAAAAAAACACAGCAAGCAACAGAAAAAGAGAATATTTACATTAAAAATAGCAAAAACTTGAGAAAAATCTTGCTTTTTTAAATCTTCCAAACTTGCATAAAATCGCAAGGAATCCAAAAGGATACCAGGATTTTTTCAGCAATATTTTTTTTTTTGAAAACCTCAATTTTTCTCAGAGCCCCAAAGCTGCTGATTTACATCGAAATTTATTCGCAATTTTAAGAAAATCTTTTCATTTTAGTCTGCCATTTGCTGTCACAACGTCTACCACAATCTCAAATGTTCCATGTGTCTGTCCAACTGTCAGTTTTGTATACTATGTATCGACATACATATACATATGTATGTGCGTGTGTATATGTATGAGGACGGGGGAGGTTAGACAGGACGAATACGCTATACATTGTCAAAAGCACATTGAACGAACAGCAAAAGAAAAACCAAAATCCAAAACTAGGAAAAGAAATTATTAGAAATTCTCAAAAAAATTATATTCTTTGCATATCCTTTTTGCTAGCATTGTTCTGTAGAATTCGAACATTTTTATTATTATTTTTGCTTCCTTTTTTCCCATTTAATTTGCACACAGAAATTTTTTTTAGATTTCGTTTTTCTGCCCATCCATAATTTATGCTCACATTTTCATTTTTTTGATAACATTTTTTCACACAACACTCAGATTTGATTGAATTACACTTTTTTCTTAAATAATTTATTTTTTGTTTCAAACGTAAACATTTATTTTCTTTGCAACAATTTTTCCAACACTTTTTCTCTTTCCATTTCGACAATTTTTTTTTCTTTTCATTTTTTTTGAGCAGCAAAAGAAAAGACAAGGTATTTTTTTTTCTTGGATTTCTTTACCGTTTCACAAAGTTTCACGCAATGATTATTTAAGTCCTTTCGTTAAGGCTCCACGTCTCCAACTACTTTGGCCACTGCCAATATGGCAAATGTTTAGGAATTCAAGTCCGAATGGAAAGCTTTCATTAACATTCTCGTTATCGTCGTAGTTGATTCCGAATGATTTGGTCTAGTGATTTTGTTTGTTTGTGTGCGTGGGAGACAATAACAAAACGGCGCCACGTTGTGAGTAGTCATGAAATGTGGGAGCATTAATTTACAGAGAGTACAGAGAGAAAAGTATCTGAGATTTGAATGAGCATTAAAAGAAAATAACACAGAGAGTAATGGCTGTGAGAAAATTCCGTTACAGGCAATTTGGTTTCCTCATATTTTTTAAACAGGGATATCAAATTTCATTGGAGCGGCTAATGTCCTTCTGAGCCAAAGATCCATTCCATTTTCGGTGAAGTACTGCGGGAGCTTGCCATGTACCTATTTTATCTATTTGACTAGAAGAGTCTCCTAATTATCCGTGGTCACCAGAAAGGGACATTTTTTACCATATTAAGCTCATTATTTTCAGTGAAAACAGCAAGCCAAAGATCCTACGGAACCAGAACCAATGGAAAATGGTTTTGACAACTTTTTACGGAAGCATGGTCTATCTTGTCTTATCAATTACAATTATGAGCATTTTGACCGTTTAAACCCCCTGATAATGGGGATTATATCCAAAGTGACTGGGGTGACATAAACTCCATTATGGGTTAGGTATTTTGAACCTGATTACGGCAGAGTAATTTTTTCTGGGGGAAAACCCACAAAGTTCGTATACGAAATCCGTGTTTTATGCGGTCCTTCAAAATGGGTATCATTTGAAAGAATATGACAGTACCTATTTTACAAGTAGTTATATGATGGGGTTGCTTGAACCGGTACCCTGCACTTTTGCCTTTGCCAAATGTGCTGATATCTCTTGTAGGTCCAACTTTGGTAAGTATTGATATATTCTCCTCTGGGTATGCTTAACACATGCTACGAAATCCGTAGTTTATTGTAATTGTATCGCTTATTTAAATTCGGAGCTTGGGATTTTCTCCTCCGGGGTATATCTAACACCGGCTGTGCGATTTTTTTAAACTATATAACTTTCATAAGAAGTCGGCCTTCGGCCGTGGCTTGAAATTTTCTCCTCTTGGGTATATCCAACACCGCCTCCTCGATCCATAATTTTTGTAAACTTTATAAGTTTTGTAAACTTAATTCAAGCTTGGTCTTCTTTTCATAAATAATCCGCACAAAAAAGGGTCATACCGGGACCATTAAAGGCTGGAATACTATCTTGGTATTCCTATGGACTTTCGGGAAAGCCCCACCCCCCCCCCCCCCCCTCTGACGAGGAAGAAGGCCTCTAGTCTGAGGTTGACTAAGCAAGCTGACCTGAGAAGCCCCAGCGTCCCCAATACTAATTCATCGAAAAAAAACACCGACATGTCCAAACCTTGAGGCATTTGATGTTGGAAGGGGACACAGCGGCGTTTCCATTGATAAAATGGAAGTGCCGCTATGTTCGCCCGACACCAAAAACGCCAAATCCAAGGGTACAAGGGATGAAAAGTCATATCGGCTACTGCCGTAGTCGTTATGTCGATGGGGTTCCATTAATACTCACTGATTAGAAGTTATAACTTATCTGAAAAGGCAACGACTGCCGGAAACCCCTAACCACCTACAAAGATGATATCGAAGAAGACTAATACAATCAAGCCTTTAACGAAGGCCCCTGAGGTTCCAACACCAGAGAACCCACTTTCATAAACAAGGCAAGGCAAGCTTGGGGGTAAGTCGACGGAACCGCAGACCACTTAAAAAAAGAAGAAGAACTCGAAGTCTAATGCAACACCAAACCGTTTCAGTCGTAACAACGGAGAAGAGTCAAATACAAAGAAGGCTACAACCAGCGGACGTAGCCGAAAAAATCAGCTTTAAAGGCGACCAAGTTCTTCTCTCAGCCAGTTGCGTAGAAAGTGGTGACGACGCAGACCGTGGCTGCCAAGAAGGATTGTGGGAAGCGCACTTATCAGAAGGCGAAAGTCGATCCTGCCGATAAATCTTCGCAGAAACCTTGTGCTCAAACTGCTCAACGGATGGTAACGGTTGACCTTAGAGTAGCGGTCATTGATCAGGTTTACATCAATTTGATGATGACTGACGGGAATATCCAGTACATCTACCTGTCGAATGAGATCGAACTAAACAATGTGCGAATTGACCGTAGTGCAATCTGCAATGGAGCCAGGGTCCTAACTTATTATAATGAGGAATCTGTAAATTACCAAATTGCCGCAGTTAATGGCCTTGATTCTTTTTTTTTTTTTTTTTTTTTTTTTGGAAGGAAGCATAGTCGCCACCGAACCTGGATTCCACCGCACATAATGGAGTTGAAGGAGAAGCAAAATGCTGGTCTTATTATTGAAAATTGGCGTATGCAAAATTCCTTCGCCAAGAACAGTGGGATGGTTCTTACAGAAGACACGGCCAGAGAGGCCTTCCTAAGAATTCAATGGGGACTGCTAAGCTTTGAGTTGCAACGCATTCACTGTCGCTTCCCACAAAGTAAGCAGCAATGGACAAGGAATCTGGTCTACGCCAGATGGTGCAGATCAATCTAAATCATTGCAAGGCCGCGGCTGCCAAACTCCAGCTTAACCTCGCAGCATCAAACATCGATATCGCCTTGGAGCCCTATCTTTTCAAAAATATAGTTTCCGGGCAAGAACTATACGCCACCATAAATGGGGCAAATAGAGGACCTGTATAGTTGCTAAAATAAAAGCAAATCAAATAATCTTTCTTATTTCTGCAAAGGAGACAGGAGATGGAGGTATTAGTAGTGGTAAATCACATCTGATATCCTCAATCCCAATGCCTTGCGAAGACCCGGTCCCACAACGCTAATACGCCCAAGACCTATTAAAGGAAATGGACAATTCAAGCAACAGTATCCTAGAATGTGACACAGATGTCCAGTTCTTCTACAAATATAAGAGGTGAGTTAGTGCTCAATTTTTTTTCTCAAAAATAATCTTAGAATTTGCAATAAGCGTAACAATGCCACATTTCAGAATGGTGTAAGAGCGGAAGTCATTGACATCACCCTCTCCGATATGGACGACTCTGCTATTGGCAAATGGAAACTATCTGAAAAGTACTCTTTCTGAAATAACAAAATTACATTCTTTCAAGTGGCTAAGGTGGGGTGTCATACCGATATTTTATAGGAATCCAAGAAGTGCTGACTGGGGTAAATTGAAATATTTTACGTCAGAGTTGAAGCACAATCCTCGAGGTCGGCAATTAACGATGTCGAGAAAACGGTGAATGTTGTCACAAATATTCTTCGTTCAAGTTATAAGAAATCTTGTCCAATCACCTAGTCTGGGGGGAAATCCCAGCCGGTTTGGCGGACTAAGGACCTTGATATTATTCGGAAACAGCAAGGAGGTTGTGTAAGAGGGCTAGGAAAATTAAAAGTATAACAAGCTACCCCAAGATTTTATGGGGGATCGACAGCTTTCAACACTTCAAATCTTCTGGTCCTGGTAGAACTTTTCCGGCAATGTTGAAACATGCATCCTAGTCGGTGTTGCCTATCTTGCAGGATATTTTTAATATTTGCCTTAGGTGACCTATACAGGGTGAGATGAAAAAACTGCAACCAACTTCAGACTGCTGTCATTTTTAAGCCACTCATCCGACAGCTGTTAAAATTATTCCACTGACAGCTCATTATATTGCTTACAAGCGTACAAATGCATTTTGGTGAGAATTTTCCAGAAAAAAAGTTATTCCTGATGGATTTCAAGCGTGATGGTGTGATTTCTTTATATTCGACTGGAAAACCACAAGTGGCTATCGTTAGAGCACTCCAGCATTTAAATGTGAATAAATCTTTTGTGTCTTGTATCATCGCTCGTTACCGTGACACTGGTAGCATAGTCCGACGTCAAGGAAGTGGACGGAAGAAAACAACAACATGAGCAGAAATGGTTCGAAAACTAAAGAAGCGACTTGATCGAAACCCGCATCGCAGTGGCTGAAAATGGCTCGTGAGCTGAACATATCGCAATATTCCATTCGGCAAATATTGAAAAATGAGCTCGAAGTAAAGCCATTGAAATTCCAAAAAGTGCAAGAATATACACCGCAACAGGGAGAAAACAGACTAAAAAGAGCTTAAGAGTTGCTTCGCTTGTCCGACAGTGGTGAACCGCCGAATTTGGTTTTCTCCGATGATAAAATATTCGTTGTGCAGTAGTTTGTAAACAAACTAAATGAGGTCAGCTGAAAATGTGCACCTTCGCTTGGCCACCAGACCTCAAGCGCCGGCCATGGTGATGGCATGGGCCGCCATAACAGCCCATGGTTACTCTCCGCTCGTATTAATCGACCGTGGCATCAGAATAAATGTCGTATATTATCACGAAAAAAATCTGGAGGGTGTATTAAAGCCTAGGGCAAGCAAACATTTTGACCGCAGACATTGGGCATTCCAACAGGACTCAGCACCGTCGCAATCAGTAAGCGCCACCCAAGAATGGTTAAAAAGTGAGGTTCCTCGTTTCAATTCTAGCGCACAATGGCCATCAAAATCTCGGGATACCAATCCGTTGGACTATTGTATCTGGAGTATTTTGGAAAGCATGGTTGGCACTAAAAATACCAAAGTCTTCATCACCTCAATCAAGCGCTTTGCCGGGTATGGACTAAAATACCGCAGAGCAACATTCGGGCAGCGTATGACGGCTTCATTGGCCGTCTGAAGGCCATAATTCGTGCCAAAGGTGACCAATTCGAACAAATCTAAACTTAGAATTTTTATACCCTACACCATACTATGGAGGGTATATTAACTTTGTCATTCCGTTTGTAACTCCTCGAAATACTCATGTCAGACCCAACAAAGTATATATATTCTTGATCAGCGTAAAATTCTAAGTCGATTTAGCGATGTCCGTCTGTCTGTCTGTTCGTCTGTCTGTCTGTTGTAATCACGCTATCTTTTGAATGAAATGAGATAGATGG